TTTTTGAGAGGTTTTCGCTATAGGGCGCGTGCACTCACCAGAAAGACAGAGAGAGACAGAAAGATAGAAAGTGAGAAATCACCCCCCAGGGGGGATGACCACGCCACAATCCCTTCCCCACCTTTCTCCTCTCGGGATCTTGGGCACGCACGTACGTACACACGCCCGGCATGAGTTTAAGCTGCCAGGTCCAGGACTTGAACCACAGTTGACTACATGGGAGTCCAGCAACATAGCCATTACACTAACTGCTGGTCCCAGGAGCAACTTTCTGTGTGTCTCCACCAACTTGCCTAGAGTGGGATATGGGACTTTCCAGGTCCTAGAGCCACCTCTCTCTGCACTGACTCTCCCCTGTGAGAAGGCCCACAGGTCGGGCAAGGGGTTCTACAAGTAAGGGTCTGGGCCCAAGGCTCAGCCCCTGATGGCTCCCACTCTTGTCTCAGTTCCTCAGGTTCCTCTTCAACCCCTTAAACCTGCACTCATGGATCAAGGACGAGTGGAGCCTCATCTATGAAACAGCCCACGTGCAGGAGAACTGGATCAAGCCCCTGATGAGGTAGGTCAGGCCGGTGGGGCATTACTGGTCTCTGGACAGTGTCCCTATACCCCACTGTAGGCTCCTCCACAGGTACAGGGGCCTCCTCATGCCCCTTCCTGCTCACAGAAGCTCTGTGAGTATCAGTAATTGCTCTGTTGGGGTTCAGAGGCACCAAGTCTGGACGGCCCCACAGTCTGTGGGGGAAGAACAAAATATGGTGCCTCCACTTTGGTGGGCTAACTGGTGGCTCATGGCGCCTGAGAGCCTGAGCTTATTTCAAGGCCTTGGGTCCATGAAGTCAGGAGGCAAGAGCCAACCCTGGAGCCCACCCTCTGAGGAGGGGCTGTGTCAAGGGCTCCAGTCCTGCCCCTGGCCTCTCTGGATCCCAAGAGTGCAGGATGGAGAGAGGAACTGAGGAAGCTCAAGGATTCAGGCCTAAACCTCTGGTGTCCCAAAGGGTACCACTCCCAGGCCCACTGCCCCAAAGCTGCCCTTGGTACCTCTCCTTGCCCCCCAAGTAGACCTCAGGTAAACTGCAGGCTAGGATCCATAGGCAGAGGAGTCAGCATGGTCACTTGGTCTTGTTCTTGTCCTCTATAGAGAACTTGCTGGAGCCAGGGTGCAGCTGGGGAACCCCACCTCCATTATTTCCCTTTTGATAGGACTGGAGGTAGCTGTCTTAGCTTCCCATTTGGGTACAGACCACTTAGGTGCCAGCTCTGTGTGGTAGACCTGGAGGTCTGGGAGATGTAGAAGCTCCTCCTGCAGGAAAAAAGAGTCCCTGGTCGTAGGCACCGGGAAGTCCCTAGAGGTCCCTTCACCAAGGGGAAAACCTCAGTCCCACTCATCCCACGGCTAGCAATCAGGAATTGGGGAATGGCCCTGCTGATACTCCCCTCCCACCTGCCACCCAGGCTGAACTTGCAGCCTCCCACAGGTGCTACCCATGGCCTGGGCCTATAGGGCTGCCTCTAAGCAGCTGTTCAGCATAGACAGCCTAGCCTAGCATTCCCCTCCTCCTGCTCCTCCACACCCAGATTTCCCCTGCCTGCTCTGAGACTAGCCCACAGCAAGTCTCCTGCTCCTTCCCCATCTACCCTGAAGGTGGGACACTGGCCCCACGCTGGAGTACCCTTCTGAGAATTCCTTGCTGTTGTTCCTTGGCAGGAGCTAATTCAAACCACACTGTCTTCCCCAGGAGGGAACAATGATGGTATTGGTGGGCTCTGCCACACAGGGTGTGGAGCATGGAAGGAGGAGCCTCAGACCTTGGGGCAGCCCAGCAAGACTCTTCCTAAACTCCCTGGAGGAGGCGAGGTTATACTTAGGACAGCTGGGCTCCCTGTGGGAGGTGTGGCCCCACCCGACTCCCACAGCTCCCTCTCCACCTGTCAGTAACAGTGCAGCTCCAAAATGTTCCTTTCTGATCGCCAGCGTCCCTTCCCTGCTCCTGGCTTCTTTCCCCTGTGCCATCTGCTGAAGCTCAGACTAGCTCCCTGTCCTGGCTACTGCTCATCTGCAGAGCCCTCTGGATTCCTGCACTGGGGATATCCCCATTCTCCCAGCTCTTCATTCAACAGCATGGCCCAGGAACACCAATGCCTCTAGATCTTAGTTTCCTAAACTATACGAGGAGAAAGCTGATATATGCGACGTGGGAGTGTGGTTGGTACGTGCCTGCTGGTAGCAGGCACTCAGGGAAGAGGATTTTTGCTTTCCTTATCGCCCCACCCTGAGATACACTCAAGGTATTTTGGGGTCCTTCAGATCCTAAAGGCCATTCCCTTAGTGACCTGCTTAGGTGATGACCCTAAAGGGCTTCCTCACTTTTGCCTTCAAGATGGCAGCCAGAGGTCCAGGAGCTGATCAACCAATTGGAAGGAGCAACGACCAGTCAATCCTCTGTTTCAAAGACCAAGGGCACAAAACCCAAGGAGTTCAACCTGACTGTCCCCAGGCCCCGTGCCATTCCAGTGCCTGAGCTAGTTCCTGTCGTGGCCAAGCCGAGACCAGTGAGTTCATACATTTGCAGTGGGCACAGGCTTGCCACCATCAGAATGTCTGGTCCAAGAGGATGGACCACATGGGCCAGTGGGGGCTGGATTTTCCCAGGACCAAGTGTGGGCTGGACCAGACCAGGAGAGTTGATGACCCTGCCGAATCCCACTTCCATACCCCACAGAGAGGGAAACCCAGCTGACCTGGAGCCCCCTCAGTGAGTTCCTGCAATACACCTGCTGTGGTCCCATGAGTAGGTGTGGAGCAAAGTTATCAAGCCATGAAACTCAGACTGTTTGAGTTTGCCTGTCTCCACCTCAGGACCTCTGCATATCTGTCCCATCTGCTTAGAGCCTCTTTCTCTTAATGCCTTGCTGACTTAGCATATCAGTCAGGATGCTTTATATTGCAAGTAACAGAAAATGCAGTTCCAACTGGCTTAGACAATAAAGTACTAGCTGACTCTCATGACTGAAGTTGGACAGGCTCCAGGCATAGTTTGATCAGAGCTCAGCTCTGCTTCTCTCTACCTCGTCTCTTCTGTGAATCAGCATCATCTTTGGGCTAACTTTCTTCATTGTAGCAAAAAATGCAGGCCTCATAGCCATATTCTATATCATCCAGAGTATGACGGACCAAGAATTCTTTAGAAAAGTCTGGTTGGGGGGCCCAACAGGTGGCGTGGTGGTTAAGGTGCTAGACTCCCACATGGCCAACCATGGTTCTAAGGCCAGACCTGGTGGCTCTGTGTGTGTGTGTGTGTGTGTGTGTGTCTGGTCAAATTAAAAAGATAATAATAAATAAAATTAAATATTTTTTTAAAAGTCTGATTGGACCAACTTGGTCCTGCCTGATCTGACCATTATAAAGGGTGTAATGTCTTAATTAGTCACGGGCTCTACCCAAAGTGCTGGCAGTGGACTCTTTCTCAGAACCAATCTGGTTCTCCAGCAGGACCAAAGACTATATAGAAGGGCAAGGAGATGGTGTTAGGAGGTCACAAGCTCCCACCCACTTCCCACCATTCTTCAGGTCTCATTATAATCTCTTTTCATAGAAGCTTGCTCATGAATCCCCTCAGCTATATTGGGTTCCTCATATAGTTTCCTCCTCATTGACTCCAGTTCATTTTCTTCATAGCACTGATTAGAGTTCATGGTTGTTTGGTAATTCATGGGCCACTTTTCTGATGACTGGCATGCCCACCTCTTCACCCACATCCAGCCAGTGCCAGCCTCAGCATTTTTTAAAAAATTTGTTTATTTGCTAGAGAGCATGTGTGCTCACCAGTGACAGAAAGAAAGGGAGAGAGAGAAAGCATCCCTAATGAGGCATGATCATACCACAATTCTTTCTTCTCTATCCTGTCAGGGTTTTAGGTATGTGCACACACATGCCCAGCATGTTTTTTGATCTGCTGGGGCCAGGATTCAAACTGCATCATTGGCCATGTGGGATCTGACTCCCTTAACCACTAGGCCATGAGGCTGCCCCAACCCTGGCATTTCTAAACACCCTCTAATCTCAGGTGCTGACCATGGACTCCCCCTCTACCCCACCAGGTCCCTCAGAGCACTTACCAGTTGCCCAAGGAACAGCAACAGTTGGAAATAGTTAAGAGATATAATCGCCGGAAGGCTGAGGTGAGCCATGTGTGACCCCTGCCTTCCCAATGACCTCTATAGAGGGGAAGCATGTGAAGGGAAGGTGGGGTTAGGGAGTAGGGGAAAGAAGAAGAGGGGAAGCTGGATGGGTGTTCATCCTGCCTAACCCCAAGGACAGTGAGTGGGGCTAGAAACTCCATGTTATTGTGGCAGGAGCTGCTGCTGAAGGCAAACATGGAGGAGCTGCGGTGCGCCATGCCCAGGTCCCGAGGGGAGCTGCCTATGCAGGTAACCCCAGACCTCCATACCCCAGGACCAGGCTTCATGATGGAATTTTCTCATGTCATAAGACAGTTCTTCCCAATGTCATTTCAATGGCAACACGATGAGCTACTTGGTTAGCTTTTTCCCATTGTGGGCCATAGAGGGGGCAATTCCTGGTGACCCTTGAGCTGCTGGTATGTGTGCTCTAAGTAGACAAGTGTAGATGGACATCCAAAACCACTGAGAGGAAGCTCACCAAAGAAAGTACCTACAGTCGTTATCTCTGGGTGTTTCCAGATGTTCCATACTGAGTATTTAATACTCCTGTAAGAAAAAAGCAAACCAAGGGATGTTGTCCAGTAAAGAAAACGTGAAGAACATGACAAAGAAAAACTGGGGTCTGGTAGTGCTCACCCAGGGGTATGAGCCTGCCTAGGTGGCAGCGAGATCCAACAGAGGTGGGGCAGGCCCAGGGGGCAGGCTCCCTCACATAGTAGCTTGCCCCAGGGGTTGTGGTGGCCTTTCGCCAGATGCTCTCCCACACTGACTCGTACTATCCACCCTAGGGTATGTCCACAGAGGAACAGGAGGCTGGGCAAGGGGCATACAGACTCCAGGAGAAGCCTAGAAAAGGTCATGAGGGAATAGCTGAGGAAATGGATGCCAAATCCCGAGGCCAAATTGTCCTGACTGGGAACTGCTGTCCCCAGGCCCAGCAAGCCCTGCGTCTTCCCTGTTCCTGCCTAGTGGTCCATCACCCCAGCCAAATTTGGGAGGGCCTTAGAAGACAGAAATGCTGTCCTTGATGGAGGGAGGAGTGAGACCTTATAGACTACCACAGAGGGAAGTGGGCCAGGCCTCCCAAGGGTACGAGGCCAACCATTCACTCATGGTGTATTTGAGGGCATCTACTGGGGACAGGTGCCAGGCTGCCATCTGCCCTGATTTCTGCAGGACTCCAAGAAAAAACTGCAGCTTCGAGTCCCACCCCGAATCCGAAAGACTTCAAAGCTGACCTTCTACAGGGTGAGGGGCACGCCTGGCTAGTCAGGGCTCTCTCCCTGGGAACCCACTCCTCCCCATCTGATATGTCCCTGAAGGTGCAGATGGCCAGAGCTGGGGGACCCAGAGACCCCAAGGATGACCTCGCCCTTGGGGCAGAGGGAAGAACCTGGGTGGGGGGTGCAGATGTGGAGGGTAGAAGGATAAGAGGGGCACTTGCTTCTCCCAAGGCTCCCTTCTTATAATGGCCAGCCCCCTTCTCTCTCCCACAGCCTGATAATGTTCCTGTCAAGCTGAACACTACCACCATCCTCCGAGAAGGAGCCTTACACCAGCGGCATGTGGAGAAAGAGTTGCAGAGGTGAGGCAGCAGCAGGCTGAGGCTACCCTTCCAGCCTCACCCATGGAGTTGACCTTGGAAGGGAAGGCCTGGAGGAGAGGCCTGGAGGCTGAGTGGCTCAGCAGAGAGGACCTTAGGGATCATAACCAAGCTATGGTACTGCAGGAGGTGAGGCAGCAAGCAAGGTATGTGAGGATGGTGCCTGCATCTTACAAAGATAATCCCAGCTCAGTGAGAGAGATGGACTGCGATTAGAGGAGACTTAGCCAAATATCTGATCTACTCGAAACTTTCCCTAGGGTTACCTCCCATTAGACTCCTTTCTAGGCACAGTGACAAACACTGTGTTTACCCCATGCTGTATAGTTGTGTCTTTTCATATCTGAGAGTTGGACTGTCTGTGAATATGAGGTTGACTGGCTGACCAGAGGATGAATGAGTGAACAGATAAGTTAATGAGTGGATGGTGGCATGACAGACAGTGGACAAAGTTGGTATATGGACAGATGGGTGGACAGGGGGATGACAGGGAACTAGGCATTTGGACAGAAGTCAAGTAGACAGGCAGGTGAGTGCAGAGGATGGTGGAAAGGCAGACTGTGAACACAGGGTTGGTGGATCAATAGACAGATGGACAGAGTGAAGGTAGATAAACCAGTCCCACAAGGAGTGTATGATGATGTGCTGATACACGATGGAGAGGAGGGGATAGGTGGATGGTGGGTGAGTGGGCAGAAGGTAGGAATGGGAGAGCAGCTAGGTGGAAGGTGAGTAGCAGCCCATGACTGTGAGGGCTACCACCCCCCCAGGACAACCCATGGCCTCCTGATGAACCACATCACAAAAGTTGCACCTCTCTCCCTATCTCCCCAGAGTTGAAAAGCTTGTGGATGGGGCTGGAGACTTCTCTGAGTTCCTTGAGTGGCAGAAGAAAATGCAGGCAAAGGACCGGGAAGAGGAGTTGGCTGCAGGTGAGTGCCGGCGGCTGCAGGGAAAGCTCAGCCACGAGGAGGCCATGCTGGCTCGGCAGAACCTCATGCAAGAAAACAAGCAGAAAGCGGACCAGAAGAAGGAGGAGGTGAGAGGCCATATGGGAACAACCAGGCTACAGGGTTCTGCCAGGTGAACTTCATGACCTCTTGAGAACACCCACACTGTGGCTGACCATGGCCTGGTGGCTCCTGTAGCCACTGGCTTTCAGGCTGACCCTAGGTCATTTTCTCCTAAAACCCATGATCCATGCCTCAGCACACAGGGGTTCAGAGGAGCTTTATGTCAGCTAGGCAGAGCTGATCCTTTGGCCAGCATTTCTGTTCCAAGCTGCTCCCTACTCCTGTGATCAGGTTTGGTTGGTCTACAGATCCCCAGGTGACCCTGACATAACCGCTGAGGTCCTGACAGAAACTTCCAGAAGGCTGATTCATTTGCGTATTATATGTTTGTATATGACATTTGCACATGCTGGCTTCTCTCATGGGAAGGTTTGTGGACATCCACGTTACTGCTTTAGAGCGGTACCAAGTCCGGAAGCCTCAGACATAGAGAAGATATTGATGTAACTCACAGTCTGAGGTCAAAGCCCGAGAACCCTTTGGGGAGGGTAGGTGCGAGTCCTGGAATCTGAAGGCAAGCAAGCCTTTTCTAATGTCCAAGGCAGGAGTAGTCTATCTTGCTCTCTCTCAAGATACGTATCCATCTTCCACATTTGTCCTCTTCAGGGCCTCTTGTTGATTGGCTCATGTACACCCAAATTGAGGTGGATCCTCTCTCAGTGTAGACCTAGTCTACTCACATTAATTTCTTCTGCAAACACCCCCATGAACACACGCAGAATAATGTTTTATGAGATTTTTACATATTCCTTAGTCTGTCAAGTTGACACCCAAAACCAGCTATCACAGTTTCTAAGCATTTGGAGATTTTCCTGTTA